TAGACTCCTAAATGTTGTTATAATTGAAATTGAGAAGGGTTTTTTGTAACACCCCCGATTTTCGAAACATTTAAAACTTATATAACAAGGATAACACCTCATTAAATCCCAAAGTATAACATAAGCGTACGGGGTGCTATGCCACACCTGGGCTAGAGAACCCAGGTGCACAGGCTATCTAACTAATATCCTCCGAAACATAAATGCATAACATGGCACGCAGGCCGAAAGGAAAACTACTCTACTTCTACGTTCCAGTCTAGCGCGCTCCAGTGCTCTAATCCTCTGTGCCTGAAAGCCAAATATATCTGTTCAGCGAGAAATGCTGGTAACCCACTCCAACGCGTTGAAATACAATACATATAGATATATATAGATATACGAAAACCATTTTGAGCATGAAGATATATCCTACGAACTCTAGCTTTTAAACCCGGGAATGACTCGACAGATAAGGTTAGACACAAGTAACAGTTATAACAAGCGTATACAATCCACAACAGGCAAGACAGATAAGGCTGAGCACAATTAATAATCATAACCCAACACAAACAATCCCCAGCATAAATCCCATAGTCACATCCCCCAAGATACCCATAATCCCAACTCATCCATATCTCATCACATAGCACACTTTGTTGGCGCCACAGGACCAATCGCATGCCCATACATGAGGGTCAGCGCATATAGCTCTGACACGGCCCCGCAGCACCCTGCCCCGTATCACAACACGGAGGGGTCGATCGCAACCGACCGATGAACCGCAGCTCATCATAGTTTGATCGCAACCAAACAGTGGACCGCAGCCCAAGAGTATGTCATCTGACCGCAGCCAGGAAAGTATGAACCGCAGCTCATGTAGAAACGTTTGATCGCAACCAAACGGTGGACCGCAGCCCGGGAGTGTAAATCTGACCGCAGCCAGCTTCTGAACCGCAGCTCAGGAATAACCAATCCGATCGCAACCGAATTGGGGTATCATGCACACATAACATATAGCAAGCACATGCAACCCACATTAACACATTGGGAAGGGGGAGAAAACGGATAACAAAATCTATGCGTGATCCTTCACATACTAAGAATGGTCTTAAGGGGTTCATACTTCTTCCACCTAGGTCAACGGGATACCAATTCAACTAGCATGCAATATATAAGACTCATAAACCTACGAACGGTACCCGAAACATCAAACTAGACACGGCACGATGAACGGAGTCCTTTGGGACACCACGGGGATCGGGGGAAACATCAAACGGGGAAGCCGGGGTCCCGAATGGGGGGGAATTCCAGCGGGTAGCCGGTGGCTGGGGGCCACCCGCCGGCTGCCCGCCGGTAAACACTGTTCCGGGCAGCGGGTCGCCGGCGGGCAGCTGCCCGCCCGCCGGCTGCTCGTTGCCGGAGATGCCCCTTCTGGCCGCGGGTAGGTGGCGGGTCCCCTACCCCCCACTGACTCTTTATACACAAAATGCCCCGGGAACCATTGTGGAACCCGAAACTATGCTTAGACACTTTACAACGCAATTAACGATCAACACGTAGACAATTAACGGATCAAATACGAGAAACGTACGGCACATAACCTATCATGCTTTTCTAAACATAATTGTTACCCAACATGCGATTTCCCCACCCGATATACCAAGAATAATATCATACGATTCAACCTAGGGTTCTAATCACTTTTATACCAACAAGAATACGATTCGTCTTCTAATTACAAGATTCGGTAAGAATATCACATAGGCATCGAGAACATCACACAAGCATCAAGAATGCCAACAAGAACATCAACCTAGGGTTCTAATTACTTTTACATCAACAAGAATACGATTCGTCTTCTAATTACAAGATTCGGTACAAATAACACACAAGCATCAAGAACGCCATACAATTATCAAGAGCAACATATAATCATCAAGAACTCCACATAATCGTTAAGAACATCATAATTATCAAGAATCTCCCGATATCAAGATCACCCATGGAATTATCCCATCAATCATCAATAATAACATCACAAATCATCAATACACAATAATATGGGGAAATCCTACGGGGGAAATCATAGCTATGAAAATAGGTTTTGTTGAGACATGGGTTACCTCTTAGCCTTAATTAATTCCTTGGCTATGAAGGGTCTTTCTTTAAGCTTTCTTGCTTTGTTGATTTCTTTTAAGGGGATTCTTGGAGCTCTTTTGGGGTGGTGGGGCGTTATTCTTGTGGGAGTTCTAGGTGCCTTTTAGGTTCCCTATTTATATATCTAAGGGTCTTATTTAGGGTCTAATCCTTTTAGGACTAGGGGTTGGGTTTAGGGATGAGGGATGAGGGCCCATGGACTATGGTGGGCCTTTTTCCCTAATTAATTATTATAATTTATTCTTTCTCTTGGGCTATGGGTTAATTAATTAATTGGTTTTAGGGGACGTAACACAGGGTGTTACATTTTTTTATTTAAAAAAAAAATAAATCAATATGATAGTTCTCTCTCAATTTGTATTTTTTTGTGTTATTAGGAAAACACTATTTTGATTTTGTGATTCAAATCCAAGAACTTTTCGTGCATGCGCAGTCATATTGTTAATGGTTCCAATTTTCATCAATTTTGTCTTTTGCGACTGAAAATACACATTTGACTTTTCAATAGAAAAGTGAGAGAAAGTTTTTTGTGTATTTTGAGATACCATACAATGAATCGAAAGAATGAATCAAATCCACTCAAAAAAAGGGAAGAAAAGAGGGCTTTCTTGTAGGAAAAATGAAGGAAAACAAAGCAAGTACAATAAAAAAAGAAGTTCAGTAATCTGGGAAAATTTTTGTATCATTTTGGCGACATGGCCGAGTGGTAAGGTGGAGGACTGCAAATCCTTTTTTCCCCAGTTCAAATCCGGGTGTCGCCTGATCAACAAACAAAAACCTCGAAATCTCTTCTTTTCTTCTATTGCTATAAGATAACAAAGATTCCGCAGCAGAAGCAGAGAAAATGGACTGGTGACTGTTGTCTTGATACTTGTTTGATTCTAAACATAGGGTGAGGTTTTTATAAAAGATGGACAATCTACTTGCATATTTAGGTCAAAGAAATATTCGAATGATAGAGGAGCTATCAAGACTTCACGATTCCCTTCTATTACTAAATACTAATTAATACTAATGTTTCTATTCTATTACTTATGTATTGGCTAATGACTGGCCTAGATTGGAGAGCCTGATAAGAAATCTAATTCAACTAAGAGTTCTGGAAAGGATCGAAGGAAGATACTTTCTAACTCACAAGAATCTCTGAGTGCTCAAGCATCCAATCAATATTTGATTGGATGGATAATGAGCTTTCCTTTTTACCTTTTTAGAGAAAAGGGCGAAAAGAAAGAATTTCTTTTCGGAAACCCCAAGTCAAGAATATACTGTCTCCCGCCGTTTCACATATCTAATATGGGCGGGGTACGGATTAGATCAAATAGGAACTAGCAATATGTAATAGATTTTGATTTCTCTTTTTCTGCTTTTTGCTTATGAAATATCAAATGAAGGTCAACAAAAAAAGAATAGGACTGAATTATTCCTTATTCCTACATGCTCCATTAGTAACATTCCCATGTGGGGTTATTGCGTATTTTTCTTGTGGTTAATGTTTCCAAATTAGAAACATTAGAGGAGTTTAAGCGGATTTATTAGATTGGTTTAGCAATAATGTTCGGTCAGAATCCCTTTTTTATTTTGACTCTGCGCGAAGGATTCCACTATTATTATTAGTGTATTATAATTAGTGAGGAAAAATCGAACAATTCCTTCATATTTATATTTATAGAGATAGGGGACAGAATTCACAATGATTTTAATTTTTTTAGTCCAACTGAATTCTTCGGCCAAATTTACAGTCACAGAAAAAGAGATAATACATACATATGGTCCCCTTAACAAATATATATGTATTTGGTGATTACACCGTTGATTTGGAAACTACAAAGTTACAAGTTACAAGCTTAACTCAGTGGCCTTTGCATTAACCCAAAGACGCATTAAGGTAACTAATCAATTAAAATCCTTAAATAATAAATTAGTCTTTTGATTATGTTAACGTTTCCAGGTTGTTACCTCATGTGAAGATGACTATGAGAAGCTTAAGCTTGCCACTAATTCAGAAGATAACCTTATGCTGTCAAGGAGTTTCACCCAGAAGGTAATTAAACAATAACAACGTTAGTTGTTAAATATGGCGATTAGTATAATTAATTTGATGGTTAAAACGGTAAAGGATTTTTTTCTACTTTTAGTCTCTAGAATTTTAAATCCTTGCTGCGGGCATTAATTCTTCCAAAAGGCTGAACCCCAACCCTGATCCGACAGAGCATTTGGAAGGGTGTAAATCATGGTAACTCAACTGAAGATGAACCACTCACTGTGCACAAGGAACCCCCCTCACTGCCGCTGGTGAGACTTGATCCCTGGTCATTCTTCCAAAGTTTCACCTCTGCGACCAGCACAAAGAGTAAATAATACCTCCACTGAGGCTTGATCTCATGACCTAAGCTGCGGGCATTAATTAATTTATTCTTCCCTAGCCTCCCATCTAATTTAGATCATAGTGACTTAATTGTCTCAAACTTATCGAAAAGGGGATCGCGGTCCACCGACTGGGTGCGTCAGCGGTGTGTAGGATCGTGGTCCGACGTTGAGTTCGTCAACGGTTCTCAAAGGGTTGGTTGCGATCAACTCCCCTCGTACCGCGGTACTGAGGTAGGGTGCTGCGGGGCCGTGTTAATGCTATATGCATTGACCCTCATGTTCGGGGCATGCGATTGGTCCCGTGGCGCCATCAGTAATGATGTGATATGAATGGTGATTCAGTAATGATGTGATATGAATGGTGATTCAATGATGATATGCATGGTGATGCAATGATGATGTGACGTGAATGGTGATTGGATGATGATGTGTTTGGAATTGGAAAGTGATCAGTGACCTGAGATGTGTATTCCTTGTGATGTTGTCTCTACTTAAATACTTATTGTTATTTGATGTGCTCATCCCTATTTGCTGAGTCTATTCCCAGTTTTAAAACTAGTGTCTCTTAAGTATATATCTTCCTGCTTCGAAATGATTTTTGTATATCTCTATATATCTATCTATAATGTATTTCAACGCGTTGGAGTGGGTTGCCAGCATCTCTCGCTGAACAGATATATTTGGCTTTCAGGCACAGATGAGTAGACACTGAAGCGCGCTAGAGACTTGGAGCATAGAATAGATAGTTTCCCTTTCGGCCTGCGTGCCATGCTTATATATTGACATTATTGAGGATTTTAGTTAGTTAGCCTGTGCACCTGAGTTCTCTAGCTCAGGTGTGGCATAGCACCTGTACTCTTATGATTATGTTTTGGGATTTAATGAGAATTACCCTTATTATATAAGTCTTAAAATTTTTAAAATTTTGGGGTGTTACAACGACCGAGTGGACTAAGGCTATGTCGTATTATGGAGGAGAAGGCGTGTTACAATGTAGAGCATATCACCAGTGGGGTGATGTTGAAGAAAATATATCACAAGTGGTTTCGTGTTACAATGTGATGAACATTACAAGTGACTTTGTGTAACAATACATTGGATAGATATGACAAGTGAGGGGAAGACCTTCCTATTTATACTAAGCAAGTCGGCTAAGCATTAAATGCTCAAGATGCAAGTGGCTTGACGTGACACACTCTTGTTGGTCTAGTCAATCGGTCGCTCTACAGCTATACGTAGGTTGATTGTCCAAGACAACAGAGCCATCACTCATGCATGCTGTCAGCCGCCCCTCCTGCAGGCGTAAATGGGTCTTCTTTACTTGTGGCGTAAGCTAAACTCTCCAACTTACGAAGTGGTTCACGCGGCAGTCCGACTAGGTGGCACAGACAGACCCACCGGGTGGCTTTGGTGGACCGACCGGATGGCGCTCTATTGGGTGACCTCACCAGTAATCTTGGAGAATCTTTACCCATTGCTAGGTTTTCAATACGAGCGGTGCAACCGGGTGTCACTCTGCTGGGTTCCTACTGACCCAGGGGCGCTCCATTGGAACCATACTGATTGGGGGGCACTCTGCCGGGATCCTACCGACCGAGTGGTACTCCGTCGGGATCCTACGGACTGGGTGGCACTCTATTGGGATCCTATTGCCGGGTGGTCCTACCGTGTATTTGCCCATCAGGTGTAATTCTTGATGTTTGAAATGAATTGAAGGATTTTTGGAGCATTTTGGATGCATTTAGAGTCAATGTGAGCAAAAAAAAAAAATCAATGTGAGCCAAGGAGAAGTTAAGAGAAGGGAAAGAAATACTTCCAAGGGAGGCAAAGCATTGTAATTTCAATGATTTTGGTGATATGGGAAAACCAAGGCAAAACTGAATATTATTTTTTTTTATTAAAAAGCAAGAAGTTGAAATTCTCACACAGTTCGTCCACTTTTTGGCATTTTGGTCATATCCCAACCTAGGAATGTCCAAATGAAGTGATTCTTGCGTCATTGGTATGGTAACGTGAAGGTCTATAACTCCTATATAGATCATAAAGTGAAATTATATAGTTTTAAAGGTCAAAATGAATGGGAAATGACAAGGCAGTGCAAACAAAAGTATAGCTGAAATTGGATTACTTGTACGACCACCTGTATGCCCATCCTACAAGCCATCCAGGTTAAGGCAGTGAGCATTTTGGAAACTTGGATGCCCTAAGGGATTGCCATCCCTGATACCATCTCTACCTGTTCTACCACTTATTTAAGCACGAATTAAACTAGATTTTGGTGGTTCCGACCCATACTCAAACCGTAGCTATTTTTCCGCCTTTCCTTTCTTATTTTTAGGTTATATTAGGCTTATATTTATGTTCTTTAACATTTTAGGAGCTTGTAATTGATAAGTTCTTATTTGTCTATATTTTCCCCCTCTTCCACTAAGTCATTTTGCTTAAAGATCATTCCAAATTTCATGAGATTAGGACTAAATTGTGTAATTTTGCAAGGAGTTTGGTTTGGAAAACATTGGAAGCAAAGATGAACATTTACATGCATTGTGGTGGACATTGGAGTCAAATGGAGCGTTTTGAATGCATTAGAAATCTATGGGAGCCAAGGAGAAGCTAAGAGGATGACTAAAACACTTCCGAGAGCCTAAGAGTGGTTTATTGTGACACCCTGGAATTTATTCTCGAAAAGCCAAATTGATTTCCTAAATATTGCCTAAGGATGAATTTAATTCTCTTACTTACATTTTGATCTCCTTTGACTTTTGCCTTGTTTTGACTTTTGCCTTGTTTTCCTAAATTGACTTTTGCCTTAGCTTGAATCTAGCTAAGGGAATTGTTTTAGCCCAATCCCTTAAGCTTTTGAAAAGAACTATTTATTTGGACTCTATTTAATGTCTTCTAGGACTTTAAAAACATAAGTATATTTCCCTATCCTATTTTATAAAAGTAATAGGCACATACCATATATATACTTGTTAACTTGTGGCCCAAGCAACATTTCTCACCCTAGTTTCCTTACTCTTGAATTCCCATCACTTAGCTAGCAACACACTCAAAACTTTTCAGCTCACTCTCCACAATTCCACACGCCACATTCACCCTATTCCCCTACTAAAAATGTTCTTCATTTCCCCGTGCTAGAAAACCAAGCAAGTCCCCACCTTTCTCACTCACCAAGACTAGGAAGGGTAAGAAGTAGCTATTTAGAGTCTTTATTAGTAGTTTTCTTACTTCTTCATCTAAGATTTTACTCTTTGTGTTTGGGTTTGGGATCTTGGTTGAAGATTATGTTGATGAGGATGTGCTAGGGTGACTTTGAGGAAAGATTGAAGGTTTTGCTGAGCTAAGAAGGCAACCCTATGTCCATGAAAACCTACTTTAAGCTATACGATGTGTATTCTTGACATTCTTGTGTTTATGTTCATTTTAGAGCTTGTATCTAGGTTGTTCTTTGATGTGTTATTGCTTCTATTCAAGTCATATTTGTTGTTGATGAGTGTATTGATGTATTTGGACTTGGATTGCACATTCTTGGAATTTTTCCCGAAATTGATTTCTCTCTACAGGGTATGTACCAGCGGGTACATCTGGCGGGTAGTTTTCCACCCGCTAGTACCTTTGTTCCCGTGGTGTGTTTTGGCGGGCACTTTGCCACCCGCCCGAACCGTCCACTGGTACGTTTTGTTGATTCCTTGATTTGTTGTTCCCCGGTTGTTTGTGAGTATTTATTGATGTCTCGTAAGTCTAGAGCGGTG